AAGGCTGGAGTCAGACCCTGTCTCAGTTTCCAAGCACACTCAGGTCATGGCAGTGACGTAGCCCTTCAGTTAAGTCCAAAAGTCCGTTCCCCCCCCACCCCCTTCCAGGGCTTAACTCCAGCATAAACCAAAACCAAATCTTCCACCCCAGGCTCTTCCACTGGGCACAGCCTTCTCCTCTTGTGGTCTGTCCTCTGCCACCCTGTCTTCACTCCTCTGGGCTCTGACCATTCCCGCCTTCCCTGCTTTACAGGGCTCATTGCACCCCTCACTGCTTGGCTGCGTAGGGGGAGCCCAGCTTACCCTCTACTATGGTTCCCAGCCCTGGGAACCCTTAGCAACCCAGCTGTCTGTCCTGTAACTTCCTGCTCAGGGACACTTCACGGTCCCTTCCCTGGGGAGCCTCCTACTTTCGAGGGAGCACTGCCTCCCACCTACGGTGTTCCTGGTGACTCCCGAGACTGTTCTTATAGCCCAGCAGGCCTGGCTTTTAGTCACATGAGCCTTGCGTTCATCCTCTCCCCCTGGGGAGGCAGCAAGCACCAGCGTGCCACTGAGCCCCATCGCCCTTAAAGGGCCAGGGCCTCCTGGGGCAAGGTATGGCTAACTCTGTTTCACTTCGGGGGTTGTGCAGGTTGCAGAGCGTCTTGGAAGTAACCTGCCCTGCTTGCAGCTTAATAATCTCCAAGTATTCCTTTAACAAGCAAGACCTTTCTCACCTGAGCTCAGCCCAACCCCCAGTTTAGTTCCTTTCTCTTCAGGTGTTTTCAGCAGTCTTCCTTCTTGAGCAGGGAGGCAGTGGAGAAGAACCAAGATTAACTCATTCCCCAGCCTTAAATAGGATTTTCATATGGCAGGAATAATTTATTTCCCAGTTTGACCCCCACCTCCTCTTAATGGAAAAACGCTAGAAGTCCAAGATGGTGTCCCTTTCAAAGCAGCATCCCAGGGAACTTCTCAGGAAGGAGGGAAATTAGTATCTTCAAAATCCTATTGTCTTTCCTAATGGCCCATCCAGGCTGATTGCATACGGTCTGCTGGGCGTTCCCCAAGTGTAAACACAGTTGTAATTGTTATATAGTCAATATTTGTATCTTCAGATACAAAAATGATACATGCATATAAATAGGATAATCATATTCAGTAAATCATAACATTTCCAATGATACCTCTGTGATATTATCCGATTAAAATATGTCCATGTAGATCATTGTTGCTACCACTGTTATATAATTGCAACAAAACTCGTACAAAATGTGGCATGTAAGAAGTCTATGGAAAGGTTATGACTCGCTGAATATGATTATGCTATTTGTATGCATGTATCATTTTTGTATTTGGATTTCAGATGTTTGCTCCTGGGGTAACGCCCACAAGGTATTTAGCCTGCACATCTTGAAGGGACTATTCAAATTAAGTGGCTCATCATTAACTCACAATGGACCGTGAGAGATGCTGATCTACACTTAATGGACTTTCCTGCTATGACTAAGCGAATTCATGCATGGACGTGTGACTTGCCCATGTGACTCCAAACTCCATCCTTTACCTGTGATTTTCCACTAGCTGTGTTGAGGGCTTTGTTTGAAACAATGGGTTTCCCTCCACATGGAGGGAAGCTATAAAAGACCCTGGAAACATCTCCATTTTGCCTCTTTCCTGCTCAAGCCTCTGGACTATGGACTTACACTAATGGGAGCTGTCATAAATATAAAGGGAAGGGTAAACACCTTTAAATCCCTCCTGGCCAGAGGAAAAACCCTTTCACCTGTAAAGCGTTAAGAAGCTAAGATAACCTCGCTGGCACCTGAGCAAAATGACCAATGAGGAAACAAGTTACTTTCAAAGCTGGGAGAGGAAACAAAGGGTTCTCTCTGTCTGTGTGATGCTTTTGCCGGGACCAGAGCAGGAATGCAGGTCAGAACACCTGTAAAGAGTTAGTAAGCATTAGATTCTGTTTTGTTTAAATGGCTGATAAAATAAGTTGTGCTGAATGGAATGTATGTTCCTGTTTTTGTATCTTTTTGTAACTTAAGGTTTTGCATAGAGGGATTCTCTATGTTTTGAATCTGATTACCCTGTAAGGTATTTACCATCCTGATTTTACAGAGGTGATTCTTTTACTTTTCTTTAATTAAAATTCTTCTTTTAAGAACCTGATTGCTTTTCATTGTTCTTAAGATCCAAGGGTTTGGGTCTGTGTTGACCTATACAAATTGGTGAGGATTTTTATCAAACCTTCCCCAGGAAAGGGGGTGTAGTGCTTGGGGGGGATATTTTGTGGGAGAGACATTTCCAAGTGGGCACTTCCCCTGTTCTTTGTGTAACACTTTGGTGGTAGCAGCTTTTAACCTAAGCTGGTAAGAATAAGCTCAGGGGGTCCTTCATGCAGGTCCCCACATCTGTACCCTAGAGTTCAGAGAAGGGAAGGAACCTTGACAGGAGCATTCTAACCAAGGGACTGAGGACCTTCCAATGATTTGGAAGCAACCAGAGACTTGATTTAAGCCAGCAGTTTATTTCATCACTGCTACAAGCCTGAACCAAGAACTTTGCAATTATTGTATGTATTTGATTCCTTTAACCAGTTTTAACAGAGTTGGAAGGGACCTCTGAAGGCCATCTAGTCCAACCCCCTGCCCAGAGCAGGACCAATCCCAACTAAATCATCCCAGCCAGGGCTTTGTCAAGCCTGACCTTAAAAACTTCTAAGGAAGGGGATTCCACCACCTCCCTAGGTAACGCATTCCTGTGTTTCACCATCCTCCTAGTGAAAAAGTTTTTCCTAATATCCAACCTAAACCTCCCCCACTGCAACTTGAGACCATTATTCCTTGTCCTGTCATCTGGTGTCACTGAGAATAGTCTAGATCCATCCTCTTTGGATCCACCTTTCAGGTAGTTAAAAGCAGCTATCAAATCCCCCCTCATTCTTCTCTTCCTCAGACTAAACAATCCCAGTTCCCTCAGCCTCTCCTCATAACTCATGTGTTCCAGTCCCCTAATCATTTTTGTTGCCCTTCGCTGGACTCTCTCCAATTTGTCCACATCCTTCTTGTAGTGTGGGGCCCAAAACTGGACACAGTACTCCAGATGAGGCCTCACCAATGTCGAATAGAGGGGAACGATCACATCCCTCGATCTGCTTGCAATGCCCCTACTTATACACCCCAAAATGCCATTGGCCTTCTTGGCAACAAGAGCACACTGTTGACTCATATCCAGCTTCTCGTCCACTGTAACCCCTAGGTCCTTTTCTGCAGAACTGCTGCCTAGCCATTCGGTCCCTAGTCTGCAGCGGTGCATTGGGTTCTTCCGTCCTAAGTGCAGGACTCTGCACTTGTCCTTGTTGAACCTCATCAGATTTCTTTTGGCCCAATCCTCCAATTTGTCTAGGTCCCTTTGTATCCTATCCCTACCCTCCAGCGTATCTACCACTCCTCCCAGTTTAGTGTCATCTGCAAACTTGCTGAGGGTGCAATCCACACCATCCTGTAGATCATTAATGAAGATATTGAACAAAACCGGCCCCAGGACCGACCCTTGAGGCACTCCGCTAGATACCGGCTGCCAGCTAGACATGGAGCCATTGATCACTACCCGTTGAGCCTGACAATCTAGCCAACTTTCTACCCACCTTGTAGTGCATCCATCCAGCCCATACTTCTTTAACTTGCTGACAAGAATACTGTGGGAGACCATGTCAAAAGCTTTGCTAAAGTCGAGGAATAACACGTCCACCGCTTTCCCTTCATCCACAGAACCAGTTATCTCATCATAGAAAGCAATTAGATTAGTCAGGAATGACTTGCCCTTGGTGAATCCATGCTGACTGTTCCTGATCACTTTCCTCTCGTCTAAGTGCTTCAGAATTGATTCCTTGAGGACCTGCTCCATGATTTTTCCAGGGACTGAGGTGAGGCTGACCGGCCTGTAGTTCCCAGGATCCTCCTTCTTCCCTTTTTTAAAGATGGGCACTACATTAGCCTTTTTCCAATCTTCCAGGACTTCCCCCGATCGCCATGAGTTTTCAAAGATAAAGGCCAATGGCCAATTTTAACTCTCCCCTTTTCTTCTTTCTTTTTATAGGCTATCTTTACACTATCGCGGTAAGTCGACTATGTGAATAACGTAGCTGGAGTCAATGTATCTTAGGTCGAGTTACCGCGGGGTCTACACTGCGGGGAGTCAACGGGAGAAAATCTCCCGTCGACTTACCTTACTCTTCTTGTTGGGGGTAGAGTACAGGGGTCAACTGGAGAGCAATCTGCAGTCAGTTTGGCGGGACTTTACTAGACCTGCTAAATCGACTGCCGGTGGATCGATCTCAGAGTGTTGATCCCCTCTGTAGTGTGAACCTGCCCATAAATAAACCTTTAGATATTAGATACTAAAGGATTGGCAATGGCATGATTATCGGGTAAGATCTGAGTTGTATATATCTGAGTTGATCCTTTGGGATCAGAAGAACCTTTCATTTGATGAAATTGGTTGTAAAGAACTGCTCATCTTAAAGTCTAGTGTTTTTGGTGGTGATACAAGGACTGGAATGCCTAAGGAAACCGCTGTTCTGACTTCTTGTTAGCCAATGTGGTGAAACAGGAATTTAGTTTTGTTGCTGGTATGGTATATCTTATGGGAGAATAACCACCAGTTTGGGCGGGGAGGGGGGCGGGGAGTGTCTGCTCTATTTCTCAGCTGTTTGTCCTGAATTTGGTATTCTCAGTCGTGACTCACAAAGTCATGATTACAACTTCACTTGACCCATCTTGCATAAAACGTATCTTAGTTGTGTCATATTCTTATCATAAACATATCTCTGCGACGAATATGGGGCATGGGGTCACACCCTTATCTTTGAGCTGGACATCTGCGCGTATCATGTGTGGCTCAGCTGTGAAGCATGCAGGGCACCAGAAAATGAAACGCAGTAGCCCAGAGAGCCCAGGATTGCAGGCAGACGGCAACCCTGACTCCTCTTGTTTTCCTCTTGTTCCTAGATGCCTCAGCAACCTGCAACCATCATCCAACAGTTACCTCAGCAGCCACCTCTCATCACACAGATCCCACCTCCACAGCCCCTCCCGGCCCCCCGCTCTGGAAGCATTAAGGAAGGTAAGCGTCAGCCACCCCAACATGCGGGGTCATTCTCCTGCTTTCCTGAGCTCCCTCTGATCTCGGAGCAGTGAAAGTATCACTGTGGTGACATGAGACAGCACTCAAGTTACCTTGTGACCTAGCACAACCAGGCTGTCAATGCAATTACTGATCTTGCCAATCAAATATCTGGGCCCTCTGACGTGGGAACTTAGAATAACTTTAGTGCTGCTGGGCACTTTATCTTGCAACAGACAGAGAGGCAAAAACCAGGTTAAGCAGTGGAGAGGGTTTGGGGGAAGTAGAACAGCACAAGGGAAGATACTGGTTAAATATTAACAAGGACGTTTGCAGCTAAAACTTTCCAAACAACTCATAATGCCAAAATGAGCAAATGGGGTTTTTGTACCCACTGTCCATTCTCCTTAGTACAATATAAGCGTTTATTTTAAAATGTGTAGGAATGGCCTGTCGCTGGAAACAAGAGGGGGCAGCTGAATGTGCGACCCTGCGTGCACATAAACAAATGTTTCTAAACAGAAGTGAGCAAGGTCCAGGAATAGCCCATGGAGCTAATATCTGGGCTTTCTTTTTGAAGGGGGTTTCCTGGTACTGCAGGGAAATGAAAAAATCCGAGAGCAACTCCGCAGTCCATTGCTTGGGGATTTAATAAAGTCTCTGGTTTATTTGAATCAATTTATTTTCTAAAACAAAATGGACCACATTTATGTCTGACCACCCTGAAGTTGAATGCAGTGTTCCTGTAGCCATATCGGTCCCAGGATATTAGAGAGACAAGATGGGTGAGGGAATAGCTTTGATTGGACCAACAGAGCTCTGTGGGGCTCAGTTGGTCCAATCAAAGCTATTCCCTCACCCATCTTGTCTCCCTATTCCCTGAAGATGATGCTTTTACACCAGGGACGAATTTGGCTCAATGTGTCCAGTTAAATGAAAAACCTGGTTACTTTAATTGTTTTTGTGTTGTGGTTGAATTGGTTCTGGTGCCAAGATACCAGGGTGATCGGCTCAAGGTGGATATGCACTCTAGATGCATTTTTAAAGCCACATGGAAAGAAATTTCAGGGTGACAATTTAATGTCTCTTCAAGCTGGGGAACAAATGTTAAACAAACATTTAAAAGAAGTTTTTTCCCTAAAATTTCTGGTCATGTTTTCTGATTATAGAAGCCCTAGCTGATTAACAGTTTGTCCCTCAGCAGCTTTCCCTGTGTGATCTTGCAGTGAAGGGATGATGCTGACTTTGAGGCCTCTCAATCATTTTCATGGCAGCAAACGAAGGTCCCAGACACAGGCCTGCACTGCAGCTGTGCGTCGCGCAGTGGTTTGGGCTCCAGGGAGGAGTAGGTGCAGACCGTCTTTCACTTTCAGTTTGTGTGGGTTCTCACTAGAGCACCAGGAATGGTTTGCCTTAACCAGCAAAATTCCCCACAACGTCAGCTCACGTTTGAGCAACGTCTGGGACCCAGCCATGCCGGCTGGGCTCTCGTTCGTTCCTGCAAACGGCCCACAAGGAGCTTTTTGTGAAACATTTTCTCTACCTGGCTTCCCCCAGAATTGGGCAGGCTTCAGCTGGCGGCATGAGGCTGGTTTCTTTGGATAGGTCACTCAGTGGAAAGCATGTAGTATCCTCCTGTGCCCTGGTTGGCTGTGGTTGTGCTCTGTGGCCAGCGGAGCTAGCCAAGCCCAGCAGAAGCTGTTGTCCGGGAGTTTCTCAGACTGACCTCTCTAATTCAGCTGGAAAAACAAAGAACAGAGCACACAGTCCCAGTCCCCATGGCTGCATCAATCTTGTACCTCCCACAGTTACCCTGCGTATTGGGAATGCTCTCATGGTTCAAATGGGCAGGAATCCAGTGACACTGAACTGTGAATGTGGGTCGGTGACATGTTTCAGCCATAGGCAAACCAGGTGTTTGAACGGGAACCTTGTGGGATTTTCTGGCCTGTAAAGCCGTACAAACTGGTTCCTACGCAAAGACTTGTGATGAGCCTCTTTGGACCTGCATGTGCAGGGTTTTGGTCAGCTAGGGTCTGCCCCTTCTGAATCCATCTCCATTTGAGAGTCTGGACACGCCCAAACCAATGAGGCTTGCCTTAGTTTGGGTCACAAACGCGTAGCGAGGGCTTCTTTGCAGAGACAGGGAAAAGCTAAGCTGGGCTAAGAGCCTGAACACTCTCATCCAGCCCTAGGTATCTGCCATAAATGGCAGTCACTGGCCAAGGAGATAGTGGTGTCTATTAACATTCTCCTCCTCCAAGTGTGAAAGGCCCTTTCAAGATCTCCTTTCAGCTGCGTTCCCTAAGTCAGAGCTGTCTGGGTGCTCTGCTAAGAATCTGACCCACTGAGATGCCCTTTGCCCTCTGTCTCTCACTGGCAATGCTGTCCCTTTCCCCTTGGAATTTGTCCGTTCCCAGACATGGTGGAGATGATGTTGATGCAGAACGCTCAGATGCACCAGATCATTATGCAGAACATGATGCTGAAAGCTCTGCCACCGATGGCATTCTCACAGCCCAGTGGGACCGGGCCTCCCTCGCTGCAGCACACCCAGCAGGTAACGACATTCACCCCTACAAAGAGACGCTGGGGCAGGAGAGGGGGGGCTGATCTCCACATGCCGGGGCAGGGCCTGGGGAGCGCGTTTTGAATATTTGGGCCAGAATGTGGCTTCAGAACCCATTGCCCATGGATGCGTGTCCTAGGGCACTGCACACACTGGCTGGTCTATGGGATGAGCTCAGGCTGGATGGCGTCTTCTGGAGCTGAACCCCCGCACATGTCTCCTGACTCTGCCTAGGGTGATGGAGGGGTTCAGCCGCTATGCCACCTCTGGATAGGGCGTACAGGGTATGCCCCCCTGTCCACAGCAGGCCAGCTCTGCTCTGCCACAACCTCACCTGCTCTCTGCCCAGCGCTGGCCTCGTACAGGCCTGGGGCCAGGCTGTGTTTGGCAACGTGCAGGCTGCTGCTGCACTCCCGCGGGCTGGGCACACTCCAGCCCTAAGAGCGTAGCTGAACTGCATGTTTCACATAAGAAAACATTCAGTCATCCAGGGAAGAGCCCACTTCCCAGATGCCCACATGGTGACTGGGAACCTGGGATTCTGCCGTAGGCTGGGGCAGACACACTTGCATTTACATTCATGGGTATATTTTTATGGGCCTTCCATTTCCTGAAAGCTTATTTTGATGGAACCCGTAATTGGTAAAGTCTGGCTTGGTGCTTTGCGATGGGCTGTAATGGATGTGATGGTGGGGCCCAGAGACCCCAGTCAGGATCAGGGCCCTGCGTACTCCAAGCTGGGCACACCCACACGTGTAGAGACAGAAGAATTTCCAACAGCACCTAAGGGCCAGATTTGTAAAGATTTGTCTAACTCCCACTGAAATCAACAGGAGTCAGGTGCCTTCATACCCTTAAACTCTGGCCCTAAGTGACTTAGGAGCCTCAGTCTCATTGAAAGTCAATGGGAGTTAGGCTCCTAGGCTCATCTGAAAATCCCCCTAGGTGCCTCTCTGCATCTTTAGGCACCTAAATCCCTTTACAAATCTGGCTCTAAGTGCCTAAGGCCCAGATTATTAAAGGTATCTAGATACCTAACTCCCATTGAACTCAGCGGTGAAGTTAGGTGAAGTGAAGTTACCTAAATCCTTTTGCCTAAAATGCACCTAAGATTGAAATGTTACACAAGAACCTAAGTCACTGAGGTGTGTTTGAAAATGTTACCCAGCCCCTGCCCGGAGGGGTTTCCAATCTAAGCAGGAAGGGCAGTTAATTTGGGAGTTCCCCTGGATGCCTCACGCTGTGCTGAGATGCCCTGGGGTTCCCTCCCCATTTCACACCTGCATGCATGCCAGGGCCTTTTCTTTTCTCTGTGCGCACAGACCAGAAAGTACTCTGGCTCCTGGCCTCACTCAGGTGTGATGCTCTCGGGCCCCCCTTGTGTTAAGACTATCCCCACCACACATCTGAGCTTGTAACAGTCACCCGGCTCGTAAAACCTGCGCTGGTGCTATTTCCAGCTCCGACGGCTGTCTTACACAACCCAACCCCCTAGCGTTCCCAGGGCTCTGGTAGGAAACACAACACCCTTCTCTACCTGATCATCTTTGGCTGTGGTGGGCGGAGCTGGCATTTGCTGCACCGGTTCAGGCCACTTCTCTACACCAGACATACTCCAGTGTTTAAGAGCAGCTGTCGGCTCCTGTTTCAGGACAAGCTCTGCAGCAGCCACTGCCAACTGGCAGAGTATTGCACAAAGGGAAGCATGAATCTTCTCCGCTGGGCCTGCTCTCAGCCAGGTTTGTGATGGAGTGGCATTTGCACCGCACCCCAGAGCCGTGCGCAGTGTGAGTGGGGCCGGGGAGGGCGGGAACACCTGTGCTCATAGGGACACACATGAGGAGAATCAGGGTGCTCATAGGACACTGCAGCACTGTCTTAAAGGGAGAGTAGTGCACGACCAGCGTCCCAGCCCTGCCAGAGGGATCCCTGGCCTGCCTCGCAGACATACTTTCTGCCCTGCTTTGTACTCTCCTCACTCCAGTTTTGGTGGCTTTAACGTCCCAGGTGAATAGTCTCGTCCACATTGAACGGAAAGGCAGAGCCTTGTTTAATGCGGTGCCTGACACTGCAGGAGGGGAGAGCAAACAGCGTAATTGCAGGCTAAAGGAAATGAGAGGAGTAAAGGTTCACTAGCCTGCACCTAAGAGCCAAGGAACAAGCAGAGCTGCCCTCTCGTTCTTTACATCCCATGGCAAGGCCAGTTGCTTTGCCCCGGCCGTTCCCGAGGTGGGGCAGTGTGAGTGGAGCCGGAGTGTGCGTAGGTCTGCACTGCAGTTAGACACCCATGGCTGGCCCGTGGCCACTGACATGGGCTCATGGGGCTGTTGAATTGGGTTTACATGTTCAAGTGCAGGCTGGAGCACAAGCTCTGGAACCCCCCCAAGGGGGTAGATCCCAGACACCAGCCTGACCCCGAATGGCTACAGGGCAGTTAAAAAGCCCCGTAGCCCGAGCTCCTTAACCCAGGTCAGCTGACATGGGCCAGCCGCTGTTGTCTAATCATAGAATATCAGGGTTGGAAGGGACCTCAGGAGGTCATCTAGTCCAGCCCCCTGCTCAAAGCAGGACCAATCCCCAACTAAATCATCCCAGCCAGGGCTTTGTCAAGCCTGACCTTAAAAACCTCAAAGGAAGGAGATTCCGCCACCTCCCTAGGTAACGCATTCCAGTGTTTCACCACCCTCTCAGTGAAAAAGTTTTTCCTAATATCCAACCTAAATCTCCCCCACTGCAACTTCAGACCATTACTCCTTGTCCTGTCCTCTTCCACCACTGAGAATAGTCTAGATCCATCCTCTTTGGAACCCCCTTTCAGGTAGTTGAAAGCAGCTATCAAATCCTGCCTCGTTCTTCTCTTCTGCAGACTAAACAATCCCAGTTCCCTCAGCCTCTCCTCATAACTCATGTGTTCCAGTCCCCTAATCACTTTTGTTGCCCTCCAATTGCCTGTCAATTCCAATTTGACTCTCTCCAATTTTTCCACATCCTTCTTGTAGTGTGGGGCCCAAAACTGGGCACAGTACTCCAGATGAGGCCTCACCAATGTCGAATAGAGGGGAACGATCACATCCCTCGATCTGCTGGCAATGCCCCTACTTATACATCCCAAAATGCCATTGGCCTTCTTGGCTACAAGGGCACACTGTTGACTCATATCCAGCTTCTCGTCCACTGTAACCCCTAGGACCTTTTCTGCAGAACTGCTGCCGAGCCATTCGGTCCCTAGTCTGTAGCGGTGCATGGGATTCTTCTATCCTAAGTGCAAGACTCTGCACTTGTCCTTGTTGAACCTCATCAGATTTCTTTTGGCCCAATCCTCCAATTTGTCTAGGTCCCTCTGTATCCTGTCCCTACCCTCCAGCATATCTACCACTCCTCCCAGTTTAGTGTTGTCTGCAAACTTGCTGAGGGTGCAATCCACGCCATCCTCCAGATCATTAATGAAGATATTGAACAAAACCGGCCCCAGGACCGACCCTTGAGGCACTCCGCTAGATACCGGCTGCCAACTAGACATGGAGCCATTGATCACTACCTGTTGAGCCCGATAATCTAGCCAATTTTCTACCCATCTTATAGTGCATTCATCCAGCCCATACTTCTTTAACTTGCTGGCAAGAATACTGTGGGAGACAGTGTCAAAAGCTTTGCTAAAGTCAAGGAACACCACATCCACTGCTTTCCCTTCATCCACAGAACCAGTTATCTCATCATAGAAGGCAATTAGATTAGTCAGGCATGACTTTCCCTTGGTGAATCCATGCTGACTGTTCCTGATCACTTTCCTCTCGTCTAAGTGCTTCAGAATTGATTTCTTGAGGACCTGCTCCATGATTTTTCCAGGGACTGAGGTGAGGCTGACTGGCCTGTAGTTCCCAGGATCCTCCTCCTTCCCTTTTTTAAAGATGGGCACTACATTAGCCTTTTTGCAGTCGTCCAGGACTTCTCCGGATCGCCATGGGAGTTTTCAAAGATAATGGACAATGGCTCTGCAATCACATCTGCCAACTCCTTTAGCACTCTCGGATGCAGCGCATCCGGCCCCATGGCCTTGTGCTCGTCCAGCTTTTCTAAATAGTCCCAAAACCACTTCTTTCTCCACAGAGGGTTGGTCACCTCCTCCCCATGCTGTGCTGCCCAGTGCAGTAGTCTGGGAGCTGAACTTGACCATCTCATGGTCACTGCCTCCCAGGTTCCCATCCACTTTTGCTTCCCCTACTAATTCTTCCCGGTTTGTGAGCAGCAGGTCAAGAAGAGCTCTGCCCCTAGTTGGTTCCTCCAGCTCTTGCACCAGGAAATTGTCCCCTACACTTTCCAAAAACTTCCTGGATTGTCTGTGTACCGTTGTATTGCTCTCCCAGCAGATATCATGGTGATTGAAGTCTCCCATGAGAACCAGGGCGTGCGACCTAGTAGCTTCTGCGAGTTGCTGGAAGAAAGCCTCATCCACCTCATCCCCCTGGTCCGGTGGTCTATAGCAGACTCCCACCATGGCATTGCCCTTGGTGCTCACACTTCTAAACTTAACCCAGAGACTCTCAGGTTTTTTTGCAGTTTCATACCGGAGCTCTGATCAGTCATACTGCTCCCTTACATACAGTGCAACTCCCGCACCTTTTCTGCCCTGCCTGTCCTTCCTGAATAGTTTATATCCATCCATGACAGTACTCCAGTCATGTGAGTTATCCCACCAAGTCTCTGTTATTTCAATCACATCATAATCCTTGACTGTGCCAGGACTTCCACTTCTCCCTGCTTGTTTCCCAGGCTTCTTGCATTTGTGTATAGGCACTTGAGATAACTCGCTGATCGTCCTGCTTTCTCAGTATGAGGCAGGAGCCCTCCCCTCTCACATGCTCCTGCTCGTGCTTCCTCCCGGTATCCCACTTCCCCACTTACCTCAGGGCTTTGGTCTCCTTTCCCCGGTGAACCTAGTTTAAAGCCCTCCTCACTAGGTTAACCAGCCTGCTCGCAAAGATGCTCTTTCCTCGCTTCGTTAGGTGGAGCCTAATTGCAGGGTCGACAGACCCTGGCTGTCGCGATGGGACCCAGCCACCCATGCAGTTGTTGTTGCACTGTAGTCCGTGTAGCTGGGCCTTGGGCCCAGGACAAAGGACTGCTCTTTTCAAGAGTGCTCCAAGCTGGCACTGCGTTGGTGAGGAACAGACCATTGTGCTCACCTGCCATATGGATACAAATTTAACAAATTACCCGTTTTCCTTTAAATTGAGGATCCCCAGTTTGCTGCTCCAGTTGTTGTGAAAGCAGAAAAACCAAGGCCATCAGCGGTGCATCATCACCACCATTACCCTTCCCCAGGAGTGCAGGCCATTCCTTCTCAGCCGCCCCCGGTTGGCTACTCCATGTGGCCCCCCATGATGTCATCCAGCCTCATGGGACAGACTGGAGGATTCCCATCCACTGTGCATCACATGACTGGCCCAACTAGCACCTTCCCTGCAATGCACACGTAAGTAAACAAGCTGCCCCACCAGGAGCTGCTGTAGTCCCTTTCCTCCTGCCACCTTGGGGTGGCTAAGCGGGCTCACAGGAGGCCAGAGCAGCAGACGCCCTGAGGTCTGACTTACCGTTGGTTTCTGACTACAGCACAGTTTGCAAACTGCTTTGCAAACTGAGTTTAAGTGACAGCAAGAGTACTGTGGCAATGGGAGAGACTCTGCGATAGGAACTAACCCTCACTGACTGCTGCTCAAATGGGAGTGTCACACAAGAGCTACAACCCCGACACTGGAAAGGGTGATTGGTATACTATCCCCGTGGAAACGCCAGCTGGAAGATCCCAACTGCTTTTTGGAACAAGTAGCAGGGATGTTGTTCTGTGGCTCCTGGGCCTCCATGAGAACTCAGCAGAGCCCTTTATAACCCAAGAATGCCCAGCTGAATGAAAGCGTCCACTGTAATCTAACTCGGGTTAATAGTGCCCTCAGGCGTGATGTCCCTAAAACACCAGAGAAACGGTCAAAGGTTTATGAACAAGACTATACACTACGGCAAATATTTATTGACCAGGAAGAAGAATTTATTCCTGGAATAAAGCTGAGCTCTTGGTATACACCCATGTTTCTAACTGTTTTTTCTTTTTCTAAGTGTAGTAACCGATGGACTCCTCCGCAGCCTGCCCCCGGGTTTGTAGACTCCTCAAGCCTGTAGCAAAGGTAACCAATCAGCTCAGCTCTTTCTTCCCCGTGCACCTCTGCCCTGTGTGTTCCCTGCTCTCCCACAGCTTCTCTTGACTGGGATATTGCCAATTGCAGTACAGTCTGCTGGGGCTGGCTTTTGGTTGTGACCAAACCTCCCCTGGGGAGACTGTTTTTGCACAGTCCTCAGTGACCTTTCAACCTGGCCATTATTAGCCAGCCAGTTCCTTGGGAGTGTCACGGTCTGAGCAGGCCATGAGGAGGAATCTGAAGGCACAGGTGGAGCATCATGTCATGGCAATGGGCAACTACACTGAGACAATTTGGCCCAGTAGCTGAGGGGTTTGTCACATGGCACTGTTGTTGCTTTCATTTGAAACTTGCATTTGTTTTGGTGCCATTTCTCTGACGTTACAGCTTGGAAATGTTTGTAAACAAAGTACCAGAGGCTGCCCCTTGGAACGTAGTGAGGGCAGGGATGGACGGGGTCTGTTTGCATTGGCATTCATCCCACACTGCTCACGGTGGGATCTGAGCTTGGGACCACAGCCCAGGAGAGGGTTAGCGAAACAGATCACAGCATGTTGAACACTCCTAACCCTGTTGCTGGACAGCGTGCTGCAGGGCAGAAGAACTAGTCTCTGAGAGTGAAACACCGAGCGGTGCGGGGCATCTGTAAGTCTCAGTGAAGTTCATGTGAGTTGCTAGTGTTCACCCGCCTCTGTGCATCCAGCCTGGGAAGATTTGGGCCACACCCTTTGAAAAGGATTTTCCCCTTTGTCTCTAAAGTTCCCTCTCTAGCCAAGGGTCCTGTGCCCCATGCCCTTGGCACCATCATTTTATAGTTACACTAAGCATATGCTATGGGCTAGCATCATACACTTTACAGCCATTTCTTTCTGTTGCAGGTGGCTGGTGAGTGGACATGGACTGTCTGCGTCACCCATGCACATGGAGCATAGCATCACTGGAGACGACTTTTAGAGAGCTCCTAACAGAATCTGGCTGACAGGAATCTGCTGTATAAATAGTCACGTGACATTAGTGGAGCTGATAACCAAGGGAGAGATGGCAGAATGGTGTAATAAACTGTGGAAATGCCAAAAAAAACACAAAACATTGTTACCTCTTCTGGCTCTGGGCAGTTAACCAAACCTTTGGGGCCCTGAGGCGGTTCCATTAGGAGGAGCAATGGATGATAGAGTCAGCTATTTCTTTGATGCAATCCTGGTTATTCACGAAGAATGTGAATAAAGTCCTAAATGCCTAGAACACAAGAGGACGCAAACAACAGGAGACAGTTTCTTTGCTCACAATTCTAAGCTTCTATTAGTCAGCCCTTGACCCAAAAGCTCTTAGGGCTTGTCTCTTCTGCAGTCAGGAGGTGTAATCGCAGCAGGTGTAGGCAACCAAACTTGCTTTGATGTTGCTGGCGTGAATAACAATAGCAATGAAGCCACAGCAGACAGGAGGTGGCAGCCACTCAGGTGTGCACCCGGGGTCATGGTCGGGCAGGGCTAGCCCATGCAGCTGGCCGGGCTGCCATAGCTTCACCGCTATTGTTACTCAAGCCATGGCTACATGTGCTGCCAATCGCAGCGTAGACACGCCCTTCACTTTTCCTCAGGGTCATGCTACCAGTGTCTCGGTGGCTGGGTCTGGTGCTTCCTCGCTGCTTTCTCTGTCTCCTTTCGTGGTGTTTCTCCTGCTTTTCTCTCACTCTTCCCCCCAGATCTACCGGAACAGTACCCAGGAAAAGTACCTCTGCCCACTTACTTCAGATTCCTGAGTGGCCTCCCATGTGCCTCTGTTCTGCCTGCAGACCCCTGTTGTTCCAGCTCCCTGGTTCCATGCAGTCGCTCAATGGCTTCTTACGACTAGCTTAAATGAAGGGCAAAGGCTACACCCCTCCCCAGTTTCACAGAGGTAGAACCCAACCCATAGCAGTATCATTGCCTTCAGCCACCTCACCAGTGTCCCCGAGTTCATCCATTTAACCTGTGTCCTGTCAGTCGTTCCAGCCCCCTAACCAGCTACAACACGGCCACAACTGTTCAAAAATCAAAACCAAACTCACAAAAAGCCCTTTCTCCCCCACCCCCCAATCATGATAGGCCTGAAGTGCAGAGTGAGTCTGGGCCACCAACAGGGTTTATGTCCAATGCATAATGACAGGTTTAGAGACCGGTTAGTTTATAAAAAAAAAAGAAAGGGAGGTGGGAACCAGAAGAGGGGGGCACAAAAGATTATGTCAAAAAAATTGGTTAGTCTTTAAGGTGCACAAGTCCTCCTTTTCTTTTTATGTCCAATGCGATGAGTGCTCAGTAGCAAGGTCCAGACAGCCAGTTACCACACAGCAGGCTACTGCATGGTAGATTTACAGCCCAGCTTGCCACGGCTTAGTCTGTATAAACAAGCCCCTCCTTTCCTAGGTGATTCAGGGACTAGAATACCGACAGTGGCCATGCCTGGTGGGGGAAGGAGAGTGCAGATGTGGATCAGGAGTCACAAAAGAAGCTGTATTTCTTGTTCTTTAACATAAATGCACAGAACTGTGTAGCATTCAGTAACAGGCATTTATTAGCCTTGCAATACACATCTTATTTCAGGCCTCCAGAATTCCCTTTTTCCTCAGCATAGCTATGTCCACCAACAGGTCTCAGATCATAGAATATCAGGGTTGGAAGGGACCTCAGGAGGTCATCTAGTCCAACCCCCTGCTCAAAAGCAGGACCCATACCCAATTAAATCATCCCAGCCAGGGCTTTGTCAAGCCTGACCTTAAAAACGTCTAAGGAAGGAGATTCCACCACCTCCCTAGGGAACGCATTCCAGTGTTTCACCACCCTCCTAGTGAAAAAGTTTTTCCTAATATCCAACCTAAACCTCCCCCACTGCAACTTGAGACCATTACTCCTTGTCCTGTCCTCTTCCACCACTGAGAATAGTCTAGAACCATCCTCTCTGGAACCACCTCTCAGGTAGTTGAAAGCAGCTATCAAATCCCCCCTCATTCTTCTCTTCTGTAGACTAAATAATCCCAGTTCCCTCAGCCTCTCCTCATAAGTCATGTGTTCCAGACCCCTAATCATTTTGGTTGCCCTTCGCTGGACTCTCTCCAATTTATCCACATCCTTCTTGTAGTGTGGGGCCCAAAACTGGACACAGTACTCCAGATGAGGCCCTCACCAATGTCGAATAGAGGGGGAATGATCACGTCCCTCGATCTGCTCGCTATGCCCCTACTTATACATCCCAAAATGCCATTGGCCTTCTTGGCAACAAGGGCACACTGCTGGCTCATATCCAGCTTCTCGTCCACTGTCACCCCTAGGTCCTTTTCCGCAGAACTGCTGCCTAGCCATTCGGTCCCTAGTCTGTAGCTGTGCATTGGGTTCTTCCGTCCTAAGTGCAGGACCCTGCACTTATCCTTATTGAACCTCATCAGATTTCTTTTGGCCCAATCCTCCAATTTGTCTAGGTCCCTCTGTATCCTATCCCTGCCCTCCAGCGTATCTACCACTCCTCCCAGTTTAGTATCATCCGCAAATTTGCTGAGAGTGCAATCCACACCATCCTACCGGTCCTTTATGAAGATATTGAACAAAACCGGCCCCAGGACCGACCCCTGGGGCACTCCACTTGACACCGGCTGCCAACTAGACATGGAGCCATTGATCACTACCCGTTGAGCCCGACAGATTCCTTCCATTTCTCTTCTAAATGACAGGTTTGCTGCAGCCTCCTGCTCAAAGGCACTTCCTTGAAGTTCTAACCTTCTTCCCCAGGAGGGCTACATACAGTGATTCCTTCTACCTGGTGTTACCCAGTGTTTTTTCTTGGATAATATTACGAAAGTTGTTTAAGTCGACCAGGCATTTCTCCCCCACTTGTTTCATTGTTCCACGAACTTTTACCCATACAGTCAAGGTCAATTCTGGTAAATTCTTTTCTGAGAGTTCAAGAGGATTCTCCTGGAACCTGCAGGAATTTCATCTTCTTCAGTTGTATTTTGAGAATTGTCAAGGTTTTGTCCTTGTCCATCAATTCTCATATGGCAACCTGCAATTTTGAGTTCATCCTGTCTCTCTCTCTCTCTTTCCATTGTCTCTTCAAATGTCCCTGAGAAGACTCACTTTGTGGTTTTGGTTGAGTTATCTCTTCTTCACTATCTTCTGTGCTCTGAATTATGTCCAGCGCAGAATAATGGATCCTTCCTTTTATTTATTATCCTTCCTTTCCTCCTTATTTTTCAAATATTTTTTCCATGGGAAGTAGCTTTTCACACTTTTTTGCAGCTGTTCCAGTTCCTTTTCTTCTGGTTTTTCTGTAATTTGCCCAAGATGGTTTCAGAGAGCTTCTTCCACCTAGGCCAGGAGTATCCATAAGGGTGGGCATTTCTGAACTGTAGATAATAAATTGCTTTGTCCTGTTTTTATGCTGGAGCCATCTGATGCCTGTGAAGGAGACTGGTCTGAGGTTAACTGATTCAGCTTTCCAACACTGGAGTTGACACTTTCTACTAGTGTTACAATGAAATAAAAATGGAACATCACAGCAAGGTACCTACAGAACTGTCTTTGACTTGAGACAAGTATCTACAATTTATGACTAAGTGAGATGACAAAGTCCTCCAGGAAGGTAATCTGTGAAATTCAAGTCCTTCCAGAGCTGTTACAAAGAGGAGTGTAACAGGGTTCACAATCCCCCCCTCTTCCTGGGGCCTGCTCACTCTCCCCAGTAAGACTCAGCGAGGTTTCAGGGTTGTGAAACACCTGTGTCTTTATTTACTTAAGGTTGTCCTTCCACCAGTGTCCATCTATTTACAAGCTTGACAGGATTAGTCATCTCCTTTACAGGCAGCGTTGGCCTTCAGCTAAGAGGCCTCTAGTTCCCCCCCTGGCTGCCACCTGCGTCCCTCCCAGCCTTTATAGCCCTTGGCTTCTCAGGCCAGCAGGCATTGCCAATCCTCAGTCTGGCATCAGGCCTTTTCCATCAGCCCCAATCTGTTTCCCCTGATTGGAGCTGACTGGGCCAGGGCTAATTAGGTGCTTTTGCACCAGCACCCTGCTACATATCTCCCCCATTAAGCCGATACTGGGCCTGATCTTACTCGGCCCCGCTTTTCTCGGCCTGGGGTTTTACTCCAGGGATGGCCTCCCTGCCCATCTGGGTGGTCCCCGGGCTCAACCCTGTGGGGTTTTGGCATGTCCCACCCACAAAAGGTGCATTGGGTAGGGGGTGGGCCACCCCACAAGTCCACCTCCACCCAGAGGTTGTCACACCAGTCGCAACCTTGGGCAGGTCGCCCCGGATGTTCTCTTTCCTTCCCTGATGTGGGAGACAGATCGGCACCAACCGGCCAGAGGCTGCCCTGTGTCTCTGGTTCAGGGCCTCTGCCTATTGGATCTTGAGCCTCCTCCTTTTGGGTTCCTACCCTCTGAACTTTCTTCAGCTGCTCTTCCTCTATCATGGGGATTCCCTCCCCTCGGTGGTCCCGTCCTGAGACTTCTGTTCCTTCATCAGTCACTTCCTTAGGGTCTGTATCCTGGCAGTGTTGTCTAGGGTTCTTATCCTTTCCCCCTTGAGGTTGTGGAGACTCCCTTTTCTCAGGGTCCACCCCCCAGGGGCCTGGCCCCCTCCCTCCAGGTCCTTCTCTCTCTTGCTTTCTCTGTTAGTCTCCTCCCTGTGCCTTCTTTCCCTTTTGGGGCAGGGTTCCAATCCAACCCCAGGATCCATTACCCCCACCCGCTTCCAGGCAAACCTTCCCTGCACCTCCAGGGGTACCTGGGCCGCGGAACAATACTCCCCATCCCCTTGGATGCATTCCACCAGCATCCTTTCTCCAAGGATAAGCCAATGCAGCTTCACCAAGCCCCGCTGTATGAGGGAGCGGGCTGAGGCTGTATCCACTAGACCCCTCTGGGGCTCTCCCCCCACCCGCATGGGGATGGTGGCTATTCCACACCTCTTTCTCCGCCCCCCCAACCTTGGTCCAACCACAGAATTCAGCGGCCCCACAGTCCATCACTGGGCAGTCACAGCTCTTGTGCCCCGGCTGTCCACTGCACCAGCACACAAGCTGCCCTGGGCGGCCAGGGGTTCCCTTGTGCTCCT